GTCACAGCAATGAGAACACTGACTGATACAGGTACCAGAACCTGAAGCAGAATGCCTTTCACAGAACCAGTCATAGATTGTCTATCTCCCTAGTCTAGAAACCGTCCAAAAGTACATACACCGGGACATGAGCATTGCTGGTGACCTTTAATAATATCCACAGCTAGGCTGGACCTGTTTAAGATTTCACAGGCTTTAGGAAAAATAGGGATGTCTCTGTTTCCCAAAGAGCATCACAACATCCCTCTTCCATTCTCTCCCCTTCCCTCTATTTCTCCTTTGCTGCTTCTCCATTTTTCTCTTCTTTCTTTCTGGTGCATCTATTCATGATCAGCCTACTGACCAACACAAGCCTTGACCACGCATCACTGATAACCATTTCTGGAAAATCCCAAGAGGCCATCCAGAGTAGGAGGAAGGGAAATAAGGAACTGGGAGAGAAGACTTCCTTATGATGCCCTGAGTTGTCACCCAGACTCTCTGATCTGGGTTTGCAGCCTCAGGTTGAACATGAGGAGAAAAAAGGTTTTAGCAGGAGAGAGTGGTGAGTTGTGGGGAATCGTATGAAGGCCAGGCCTCTCATTTAGTGAGAGTCCTTGGCACATAGAGAGGGGACAGATGGTACCCACATGCGCAGAGAACGTTATTCGTCAGATCCAGGATTGTAAGCCACAGGCAAAACAATACCTAGGAAATCAAAGGAAAAGAGTCTTCCTGGAATTGGAGGAAAAAAGGGAGGGCGTTAGAGAGAGGCCCCCCCCCCCCCCGCCATGTGGTTGGACTTCGTGAAGGCACTGAGATATTAACTTACTCATGCTTGACAAGTTAACAATAAGACTGAAATAAGATAAACAAATATCCAAGGTAATCATGGCGTGCTGGTGCATACCTGTAATCTCAGACACGCTGAAGCAGAGGCAGGAGGATCAGGCGTTCACACTCAGCCATCGCTGCACAGTGAGGTCGAGACAGGCCTGTGCTACATGAGACCCAGCCTCAAAAAGCCTGTGTGCTGCTTACTGTTTATTGTAAAGTTAACATAACTTAGAATCACGTGGGTAGGAAGCCTCAGTTGGGGAATTGTCTGAATTTGGTTGGCTGGTAGGGAAGTTGGCTGAAGCGTGTCTTGACTGTTAGGGGGAGGTGGTGAGAGTCCACCCGAATGTAGGCTTTCCCCCTCTGTTGCCTTTTGTCAGGACATTTTATCATAGTAAGAGAAGAGAAAATAGAACCCATACACACAAACACACACACCACACATACCACACACAAACACACACACACACACCACACATATACCACACACACACACACACCACACACATACCACACATACCACACACACATACTACACATATCACACATATTCATACTATACACACCACACATACACCACATACCACAGACACACCACATATATACTACACTCATAGGAGAAGATATCCAAATCCAAAGTATAACTCAGGAAATTGTGTGTGTGTGTGTGTCTGAAATTCAATTTGTTCTGAACACACTCAGACGTATTTTTGTCAGCATTTCCTAAGCAATATAATGCAACATCTGTTTTCATAGCACTTACATCAGACTGTGCTGAAGTGATTTAGAGATGACGTGGAGTCTGTAGAAAGGTGTGTTTAAGTTACAGTCAGATACTTTACCTTATTGGTTCTCGATCTTCCTAATGCTGTGTGCGACCCTTTAACACCATCCATCATGCTGTGATGACCCCCAACCATACAACTATCTTTGTTGCTGCTTCAATTGTGATTTTGCTAGTTATGAATTGCAATGTAAATATCTGACATGCCGGATTTATGATATATGACCCCTGTAAAAGGGTTGTTTGCCCCTCTACCCCAAAGGGGGTCATGACCCACAGGTTAAGAACCGCTGCTCTACCATTCTATGTGAGAGACTTGTGCAGGTAGTGCTATGCTCAGTAGTCTTGGACCAATTCCCAGGTACACAGAAGGATGTGTGTGTGTGTGTGTGTGTGTGTGTGTGTGTTAGGTTATAATACATTTATTTCCAACGGGAAAGAATAACTGAAATACTCTTTTTCAGAGACAAATACCCATTAGCTTTGAAAAACAGTAAACACAGACAGAAGCAGGCAGGCTTTAGAGCAGATAAACCAAGACCTAAAAGAATAGTTGAAGGGGCTGGAGAGAAGACTAAGTGGTCAAAAGAATAGCTTATTCTTCCAGAGGACCCAGGTTCAAGTCCCAGCACCCACATTGCAGCTCACAACTGTCTCTAATGAGATCTGGCACTCACATGCAGAATATATTGCAGGAAAAACACTAATACACATAAAAGAAAAATAAACAGATCTTTAAAAAAGAAGAAACTGGGCTGTGGTGGCTCGTACCTTTAATCCAAGCACTTGGGAGGCAGAGGTAGGCATATCTCTGAGTTCAAGGCCAGCCTGGTGTACAGGGTGAGTTCCAGGACAGCCAGAGCTACACAGAGAAACCCTGTCTCAAAAAACAACCAAGGAAGAAAGGATTGAAGCACAGGTGGACATCGCAGACTCATGTAACCAAAGATCTAAGAGGAGTCTTTGGCAAACAGGATGGTGAGGAAGGTAGGGTGTGGGAGGATCATTCATTCACCCAAGAGGGACAGTGACACAGACTCCCCATGTCCAATGCTTTCTTCAAAGGCCTCAGAAAGCTGGCCGTGGGTATAATAGTCTCCCCACCCCGCTTTTCTCTTTAGGTCAGAGAGCAGTATCTGAGAGTAATATCTGGTGGGAATGGCAGTGTGCACATGAAGATTAAGGTTCACCAAGAAGTAAGGTAAGGCTGGCGGAGAGAACCCCACTCTGTCTTGACCAAGGACACTTACTCCATTGGTGAATTATTGAGTTTGGGAATTTTATTTATTTATTTTTTTAGCCTTTCTTTTTCTGTAAAAGGAATACTGAAAGGCTGTGGGGGAATAGTCCTTTATGTTCTATATGGTTTGTATATGCTCGACCCACGGAGTGGCACAATTAGTAAGTGTGGCCCTTGGAGTAGGTGTGGCCTTGTTGCAGTAGGTGTGTCACTGTGGGTGTGGGCTTTAAAACCTTCATCCTAACTGCCTGGAAGCAAGTATTCTGCTAGCAGCCTTCAGATGAAGATGTAGAACTCTCACCTCCTCCTGCATCATGCCTGCCTGAATGCTGCGATGTTCCTGCCTTGATGATAGTGGGCTGAACGTCTGAGCCTGTAAGCCAGCCCCAATTAAATGTTGTCCTTTATAAGACTTGCCTTGGTCATGGTGTCTCGTCACAGCCATAAAACCTTAACTAAGACGTTCTATTACTGCTCTCCACTAAAAACTTTTTAAAATGATGGAGGGATTCCACAATGTGCTATTTAACATGGTAGGCTCTAGCCACTTGTGACTTGTATGCTTTAGAAATGTATGCAGTGTCTCAGGATGATCTCAGTTGATAGAGTCTTTGTGTAGCATGTGTAAAGCACTGGGTTTCATCCCCAGGACCACATAGTAGGAGAATCAGAAGTTTAAAGCTAACCTTAGCTAACAGTGAATGAGTTTGAGGATAGCCTGGACTACATGATATCTATTGTAAAAATACAAGGACAAAAAATATGTATAGTTAATACAACAAAGAAATTGTGTGGGTGGGTGGGGTGGGAGGTTGAACTTATGCAGGCTAGACAAGTGCTTTACTTCTAAGATACAGCCTTCATCTAAGAAACTGAATTTTAAATATAATTTTAATTAAAATTAAAAACGAAGAGGCCTCATATGCCCAGTAGCTTAGACAGAATGATTGTAAGTTGGCATGATTGTTCTTTGACATCAAATAACACAGATATAAAATATAATTTTGTTTTGATCAGGTTGTATTAGTTACATGTCTGTCGCTGTGATAAAGTACAACAATCAAAGGAAACTGAAAGAAAAGTGAGTGTATTTTAGCTTATATCTGTCGGCTCCTTGCTGGCAGGTCCAGGTGAGAGGAGAGAGGTCCATGTCCCATTGGGTCTCTCTGGGGCTGAGCGGGATGGTTAGAGTCGGTGGCCCAAAGGAAACACACCGGGCTGGGAGTCTTGTCGAAGCAGGAACTCAGATTTATTGTATCAGTCTCTCACTTACATAAACTCAGAGCCTAGGGAGGAGGAATTTGGTGGGATGAGATGACATAGGGGATGGGGAAGGGTGACAAAGGGTATGGGGTGAGTGACAGGGCCAATGGCAAAGCTCTACATCAGCAACAATGGGGCAGAGGCAGAGCCAAATGGGTCTTGCTGAGTCAGCCCAGTAGAGAAGTGACTGAGATAGGTCTTAAAACTTGAGCCAGGCTCGGGTTTGTCCTCAAGGCACAAACCAGAAATGGGGCCTAACATATATCCAGAGGGAACCTGTGTAATGTTGAGGGAGCCATGACAGCAGGCAGCAGGAACAGGAAGCTGAGAGCTCATATCGTCAACCACAGACACAAAGCAGAGACACAGAACTGGAAGCGAGGTGAGGCTGTAAATACCCAAAGCCTGCCCTCCATGATTGCCCTCCATGATTGCTTTCTCCAGCAAGGCTTTATCTCCCCAGGGCTCCACAACCTCCCCAAACAGCACTACCAACTGGGGACCAAGTGTTCAAGTACCAGAGCCTATAAGGGACATTTCTCATTTAAATCACCACAACACTGATGTGCCGAGTTCCGTGCCAATTCTATAAGATAAATAGAAACTTGAGAAGAGTTCATTACCAACTCCATCAAGTAACAAGAAGGGAGCTTTCTAGATTGGCTTATTGTTATTCTTAAGTTTAGTCACTCCAAGTCTATCTTTGATATTTGCACTCATAGAGTTCTTGGTTGTTTTAATGTGGCAAAGAAAATCCCAATAAAACTTAAAGGGCTGGTGATGAATATTTCTAGTCACAGTCTTGGCTCACAGTGATTCTTCTAGCACACAGACTCCTGGGTGACTAGACACGGGTGTCTATGTTCAGTCCAGAGAGGAGAGAAGCAGCTACTGGATATGAGAGTTGGACTTCTGTGGCTCATCCCTCTCTTCACACTCATGGAAGGCACCAATGGCTTCCTGCAGGTGAGCTGGTGCATGTTTTATTTCTCGTGGCAACCATCTCTCCTTTCCACATTCCTGGTACTTTTGGAATTTATAACTCTCCAGGCAACTGAGATGCAGAGGTCTGTGGATTGGCATCAGAGGTCTAGAGGTCTTGTCTCAGGATTACCAGCACTCACTGTGATGTCTTCAATAAGTTATTTTTATCTCTTTGATTGCAAATGAGGCCCTCCCATGAATATTTAATTATCTATCTTGGAGATCTTGTCTAATTCAACATGGTCTGTGCTATGGCCTTTTGGGCACAGAAAAACCATATAGGTAGACACGAACACCCATGAGCCTTCTCTATCGTTTCCACCTCCCCCTTTTCTCTTGGCATTGTTGCTTAGTACAGAGTCTCATGCAACCGAGGCTGGTTCCAAACTCATAGTGTAGCTAAGGGTAGCTTTGAACTTCTGATCTTCCTGCCTGTACCTCCTAAGTTTGAAGATTACAGATACGTGTCATCTCTTACCCTTGTTTTATGGTGCGTGTGTGTGTGTGTGTGTGTGTGTGTGTGTGTGTGAGAGAGAGAGAGAGAGAGAGAGGGAAAGAGAGGGTCTTGTCATATAGTTCTGGCTGTCATGGAACTCTTTGTGTAGACCAGGTTAGCTTCAAACCTGCAGCAATCTCTCTGCCTCTGTCTCTCAAGCACCGGGGTATTCACATCTCTTAGTTTGGTTTCTGTTTGTGTATATTTGTGTACATCTGTGAGTATGTATGTTTGCATGTATGCGAGCAGACATGGATAAGAATCTGTATACACATAGAGGCCTGAGGTTGGATCTTCCATGGTTTTCCCACTTTATTTACTGAGGCAGGATCTCTTAGGCCCAGGGGTCAGTGACATGATGACTCTCGCTGGCCGGCTTGCTTTGGGGATTCTGTCTCCACCATCCAAGGCTGGAATTCCAGGCAGGCCCCACCTTGCCTACTCCATATTTACATAGGTTCTGGGGATCCAAACTCTAGCCAGTCCTTCCCTTTATATAGCAAGTGCTTTACTTTAACCAGTGAGCTTTACCCCAGCCACGGCCTATTCATTGTCTTGATGCTTCCATCGAGGGCCGTGGCTTGATTGTTTTCTATTCACTTGGTGATTCCCCAATGTATATTTTCATCTGGATGCTTCCCGCTCGACTCCTCACCCATGTGCCCACCATCCTTGTATTCTTCACTTTTATGGGTCCCAAGCTGAACCCCTGAAGTTTTCTTACCAAACCTACACTTCCTTTCCTGTGACAGCACTCTCTTTCCACTTGGGTAAAAATGGTGCCATGCTTGAGTCTTGTCACATTGCACATTTAGGTCATTTTAAAAATGGATCTTTAAAATATACCCAGAAGTCACACAGGTCTAACTTCGTCCGCAGCTGCTGCCTCTGTCTCCTGCTTTATAATCTTGTTCCTGTATTGCTTCCATAACACCAGAAGTGCTCTTATTGCTTCTGTGCTTGGCCATTCTAAATATGGCATCATGATTAAGGCTTCTGGAAAGTTAGAGTGGATCTCTCTTTTGTTCCCCCTCTTCAAACTTTGGGGTAAACACTAAAAACCAGGCCTGCAGAGCTGACTCCGTGGAGAAGACCTCTTGTTCTGCCGACATGAAGACCTAAGCTGGACTCCCCAGCATGTGCTTTTAAAAAGCTGGGCATGAATGGCTGTATTTCCAGTGCTGGGGGGTGGAGCCAGACAGACACAGAGCCAGGCATTTGAGCCAAAACAGCAACTAGCTCCACGGTAGTGAGAAACCCTGTCTCCAAGGAATAAAGGAAAGAGTAAGAGAGGGAGACGCTCATTAGCTTCCTCTGGTCTTCCCACATACACATGGGTACACTCACTAATATACCCATGTACTTGCAATACACACACACACACACACACACACACCAACACTTCTCTCACTATCAAAAGTTTAAAATATTCTTTCTGTGAGCTGATAGATCTACACAACCTGCCTCTGTGGACTCTGATTCCACCTCTTGTTCATCTCCATTCTCTCCCCCCCTCTGCCCCGCCCCCACCCACATCCCCACCCTCTTGTTCTCCAGTCCCTCACTCTGTCTTCACAGCTGCACAGTCACAGCACTGGGCCTGCCTGTGCACCTGCTGTTCCCACCTCCTGGGAAGCTTTTTCCTGCAGGCACCTTCCCTTGCTCCAAACAGCCTTCCCAGGTCCTTTCTTGGCTACCTCCTACACTAACGTATCCTTGGCTTGGCTATTAGGTCAGCGGTTTTGGGTCATCTGGGAAACTCAACAGGCCTTATGGTCTGCAGACCACAAAGCCTCACCGAAGTTATCTTCTCTCTCTCTCTCTCTCTCTCTCTCTCTCTCTCTCTCTCTATCTCT